GTACATTTCATACTTATGGATGAAAGAGTGCTCAAGTATTAGTTTGCTTCGAAGAAATTAAAGACCTGTTTTAGGTTTTTCAAGGAAAGTAATGTCCTTCGAAGCAAAACTTAAGATCCCTTAAGGGTGGGAATTACTGTTCGAAACATCAGGACCAATGATTGGTTTGTATTTAAGAAAGATTCTCTTTCTAGACTAAAACAGTGCAGCCCTAAAAAGGAACTTTCATTTTTTGGAACTGTCAATGATCAATTTAAAACTGGTTGATCATACTGACCATGACCATATGTTGGTTATGATTGAAACAAGCTTTAAGGAGTAAGATTGTTAAATTCGAAGCACCAATTTTTCAACAAAATTGTTAACTATATTCCATCAATTGGACAGGTTCATTGTTGGTCCTTTTAGTGTTTTATTTAAAACAGTCGAGTCCAAGTTCGAAGGATAAGCTTGTTCAGTTCGAACCTCTGAATTTGCTTTTAAAAGACAAACGAAGATAAGATCAAACCATACCAAACAAAGAAAAAGGTCCTAGTGGTATTAAAAACCAAAGCAATTACATCGAATGGCCCTATTTGGGTACAAACTCAAGCTCATAAAAATAGGGAATGGAATAAATGACAAGATCATGAAATTTAATCCAACAATGATCAATGAATTTCTGTTCTTTCTTTATTCTATCCTCTATTTTTTCTAACATTGGCTGCATGAGTTGATGTGCTCTCACTTCGTAAAAGAGCTCTTCAGCCTTTATTTCGAATGCTATTTCTCTCAATCATTGTTCCAATTCGTCCATCTCTAAGTCATCCCAGTACACAGAACCTTTGTTCTTGAAATCATCGAATTCTTCAATGAAGTTCTCCGCTTCGTATTGGGCATGAATTCGAAGGGACGAAAGTTGGTCTAAAGATTGTGTTGTGGCCATAGAGGTCCGATGCCAGTGGAGAAGCAATAGAAGTTGGTCCAAAAACATGTGAAGCTCTTCTTGGGAGAGGGGATTGAGGACATGACCCCGCGTCAGAATATCACAAGCCCATCGAAGGTTCTCGAGAGGGACTTCGTCCTCAAGAACATTGAAGGGCAAATGAGAGAAAGCCGCAAGCAGAAGTTGAGCTTGCTTCCGTTCAGCTGGAGTAGGGGAAGGTGGAGGCTTGTAAGGTGGAAAGATCTTATCTACGGAGAGGGCAAGCCTCAATCTCTCTGTCCAACAAGGATTTGGCAGAGGGGAAGGTGTAGATGCTTCTATTTCAGGAGGTGAAACAAGGGCAGAAGGAACAAAGGCATTAATATAATCGAGACAGTCAGAAGAACAAATCTTTGCCTTCTAGGCTAAGAATGATAGATTGTACCCTTGTGCCTCTTCTAGGCGTCGGACGGCGTGCACTATCTTTGTAGGTATGGAGGATGTATACCATGCCACAAGCAGATTCTCCTCCAAACTGCGTCGATGGTCAATGGGCACGTGGGGATAGACCACCGAGCTTCGTGCATAAGAAGGGAACTCTAAAGGGTCAGTAAATTTGACAAAGTGATAGTTGATTCGCTCCCTCAAATCACAGGTCTCAGGTTTTGACCAGCTTGTCTAGTCGGAAGCACCAGAAGAGGAAGAAGTCGCAACCTTGTCCCATGCAGAGGGTTATGAAGGAGAATTTTCCATGTCCATATTTGTAACTTTCTGAATCAAAGGATTGAAAGTAGTTTGTTCGTAGTCCAAGGGTGAGTCAGAAGAAGAGCTTCCCGTGTCCATATTTGTGAGTTTCTGAATCGAAGGATTAAGGGCAATATGTTAGAAGTCCAAGGATTGATAATTTGCAAAGGTATCCATGACCTGAATATGGAAAGGTAGGTAAAGGTGGCTAATTAATGCATGGAGGTTCTTTCGAGGAGGAACAGCATCGTCATATGACTCTTCGTGTGTTCGATCATTGGAGGAGAAAATTGATTCGGCCATAAAATGTATCAATCTGTTCGAATGCTAAGGTGGTGAGGGGTTCAAAAGATTGAAGGAGAGTTTAATGCAGTTGCATTTCTGGGAAATGCAAAACCCATGCACGTTCTAAGACGTGGGGAAAAGACCTTGATCCACTAATATCACCAAGTATTGGGTATATTAGTGCGGGGGATAATGTTGGCTACATATTTTGTACAAGCCAATTACAATTCGACGCGTGGCAAAGCAAGGGTAGTACGGGAAGACTATTCAAATATTTGATCTTGATCGTACACGTGTCAGTTAATATTGGTTGTTACGAGATTTGAGTAGCAGTGAGTGATGTGGCATCATCGGTTACTTACATTTGAATTCAAATTCAAGAGGGAAGCCTAACTGCAAGTGATGGCGTAATGGAGCTAATCTTGAGGCAACATGATCAGCGATCATGGAAGAGCAGTTCGACGGTTGGAAATACAGTTCGATGGTCATCCTTAAGCAGTATAAATAGCAGAGAAGGCCCCAGAAAAAGCTCTAGATTCAGATCCAAAAAATCAGTCTTATTCTATTTTACTTAGTTTTACATATCCTGTTCTTTACATTCCAGTACTTTAAATTCTGCACTGCACTTCATTCATAAGAGTAGTTTCAAGTAGATTGTCGCTGTAAACCTCTACGAAACTGAGTTTGAATCATTGTAAGTTTTTCATTCTAATGAAATGTTTAAGTTGTTCTTTATTTGATTAGTATTCTGTTTAATTCTCCTAAATCAAGCCACCTGTAAAAGTCCTCTTCATGGAGGCTGAGAGAACTAAAACACAATCGTCTGATAATTGGTTGGCAATTAAATTTCTGTAAGGACTGATTGATCCTTGCTGGCACGCTTGCAATTACAATAATAACCTTCGAAAGCCAAAAAGCCAACAGTAATATAACATAAAATAATTTCTTTCATTTTCTCTTATGAAATCTAACCAAATAAAAAGGAGAGAAATCATAATCATTTATTTTATTTTCTCTTATACCTTAAGGAATCTTTTATTTTCTTTTCTTGGTTCCCAAACGTAGTGTAATCCCTGATATAGAAGATAGAATAAGTAGAAAAAGCACACCAATTCCTAATAGTACAAGAGGTAAACTCACGAGCGGAGGACATGATAAACTTTACCAAATAAACAAGATGCTAGTTAGAGCATCTCCAACGGCGAACCAAATTTTTCATCAAATTTGAGTAAAAAAAAATCAATTTTCTCAATCTGGCAAAGGTTGCTCCAACCGTGCATCAAAAGGGAAGGGTCGACCGGTAAGTCTAATTTTTTTTTTTTTACCTGTTTGAACATTTTTGACCGGTTTGAACCTACCTATTTGAAAGGGAATCGGTCGACAGGTGGGTTAATCAGCCGGACATCCGGTTGGTTGACTAGTTGGCCCACCCCAACGGTCAAGCACAGTGAAATACTGATATACAGAGCTTGTCCTCAGTTTGATGAAATGTTTGTTCCATTATCATTTTGATATCAAATTGGTGAAACCATTAGAGTTTGAAAAAGTCACTTTTTCATTAAATTTCAAATCTGATGCATGATTTGATGCACCTTTGGAGATGGACTTATTCCTTAAAAATTGAGCTTTATTCATGTGTGGAAGATGAGCAACGCCTTTCGACGCCGCGACCATTCCAATGGTTAATTGGGGTGTTTGGTGGGGTTTTTTTGAGCCAACTTATGGCTTTTGGCTTTTAAAAAGTTATTTTGGACTGTTTGGTTAAACTTATTTCAAAATTTTTTTTAATCTAACAACTTATTTTAAGTCAAAAAAACTGATTCTGAGAAGCTGCTCACCTCTTGCTTCTGATTATCAACTTCTACTGTGGACATGTTAATTTACGGTTATACTTTTAGATTTTTTTATTTTTTATTTTTATAAAAATAGAAAAAGACCCAAATGGATTATAAAATATTGTTATTATTTTTCATGAGAAATGTAGACAAATAGTGAATAATAAAAAATAAAAGTTAATTGAAACAGTTACTTCACAGCTTATTTAACAAATACTACTCAGCAACTTAAGGCCTTGTTTGTCATGTACTAAAAAAGTCAAAAAATTAAAAAGTCACTATCCTATTTAAGTCATATCATCTTATTTAAGGCCAAGTTTGGCTAACCAATAAAAGTGCACTTATTTCATCTTTTTATCTTTTTTGGGTCACATCAATCAACATCTCCTCTCTACTTTTTCTACACATAATACAAAAAAAGTCAAAAAGTACACTTATTTAGTCTTCCCAAACTTGACCTAAGTCACATTACCTCTCTATCACATCACTTCAAACCCAACCCATATTTCATAAAAAGTTAAAAAGTATACTTATTTAAAACATCCCAAACTAACCCTAAATCTATAATCTAATAACTATACCAAATAAATTAATAATTTTTAATTAAAATTATAATTTATAATCTATTAACTTATAATTTATAATCTGTTTTAATAATTACACCACGAAGGATCAATAAGCTTAAGGCACCGTTTGGGAAGAAGTTGGTTTGGCTTTTTTGGCTATTTTAGCCACAAAAAAAAAGAGGTTATTTTAGCCATAACAAACAAAACATCACATCCAACCCATAATCATTACACTTTTCTCTCACAAAAAAAATCTGGGAAGAAGTTGGTGGGTTTTTTTTGGCTATTTTAGCCACAAAAAACAAAATAGGTTATTTTAGCCATAACAAACAAAACATCACATCCAACCCATAATCATTACACTTTTCTCTCACAAAAAAAGTCAAAAAAGCCAAAAAGTCAAAAAGCCAAAAAGCCCTTCCCAAACCAAACTTTTAGCCCAGACTAAAATAGCCAAAAAAGCCAAAAAGTCAACCCACTTCCCAAACGAAGGCTAAATTTAATGAGAAATTATGAATTAAATATTTGACTTTTATATCAATCAGAAAATTCTCCAATTCATCAACATCATCGTCTTTTTCCCCATCTTCTTCTTCTCTCTCACATACACACGCGCGCGCGCACACACACACGCGCACTACACGTACACACTTCAATTATTATATATAGGAAAAAAATACATATATCAATCAATTCGATTCAGAGCTTCTCCGACCATGGCCGCTCCGTCGTCGTCGCCGTCGTCAACGGCGGCCGCGAACATCATGCTCGCCATCTACGAGAAGAAGACAGTCTCAGTCGATCTCTACCGTCCTCTTCGCAACTACATAGTCTTCAACTATTCCGAACGCGAAGCCCAAAACCTCGAAGACGATCTCCAAACCATAAAGCAAATGCGCTCCGATCTCGAACGCCCCACCGCCGATTCCCTCTCTGCCCGCCGCGACCTCTTACAAAACTACTTCAAAGCTCTCTGCGCCGTCGAATCTCGATTCCCTATCTCCGCCGACAAGGACCACGTCAACGCCGTGAATTTCACCTGGTATGACGCCTTCAAGACCAAATTGAAGGCTTCGCAGCAGAACATCCACCTCGAGAAGGCCTCTGTGTTGTTCAATTTGGGGGCTGTGCAGAGTCAGATTGGATTGACGTTCGATCGGTCTTCGATTGAAGGGAGGAGACAGGGTTCGCATGCGTTTATTGCTGCGGCTGGGGCGTTTGCGTTTTTGAGAGATAATGAGTCGATGAAGGCGTCGATTGGGGGTTCGGCGACCGTGGATGTGTCGGTCGAGTGTGCCGGGATGCTGGAGAGGCTTATGCTGGCTCAAGCTCAGGAATGTGTTTTTGAGAACTCTATTGCTAAGGGGAGTACTCCTGGGGTTTGTGCTAAAATCTCTAGACAGGTTAGTGTTTGTTTAGCTTTCCTAAATTGCTACTATTTGAGTTTTAAGTATTGCAATTGTGATTATATTTCAGTTCAGTGAACTGGTTTTAGATTTAGTGGAAATGTAACCAATATGCCATGGGTTTAATAGCAATTGTGATGGAATTTACTTGGAATTTTAGTAAGTATGCTATGGTTTCAGAATACAGAATATAACTAGACGATGTGCACACCTGATAAGTGATCTATGAAAATCAACTAATTGAATGGGGAAGGAGGGGGGGAAGTAAAAAAAAAAACACCTGAAAAGTTATTAAAATTTGAAATTCAAAATCAAAATATGAGGTAGTTCTATAGCAATATGAGATATATTATTGTTACTAAGTTATAGCCTTAGTAGGCCTCATATATATTGGGATGTTGTAGAAATCAGTTGAAATGCAATGTGTTTTATGATCCATACTGTTCAAATTACTGTATCCAATGATCTCTGTGCAATTGTAAATTGCTTTCAGTGTGTTACGGGTCTTACGTAGGAAATTGTATGTATGAGCATGTATACATGCATGTTTTGCTTGCTGGGCAGTTAATTACACTTTTACTATAATTCTTTGAAATGCACGTGATTACAGGTTGGGATCTACTATGAGGAAGCTTTAGCAGCACTAAATGTTTCACCTCTCAAAGAGCATTTTGACAAGAATTGGTTATCTCATGTTCAGCTAAAGGCAACCTTGTTTTATGCTGAGGCTTGCTATAGGTATAGTTTAGAGCTCCATGAGAAAGAAGAGATTGCTGAGGAAATTGCGCGGTTGAAGAGTGGAATTAATGCTTTATCTGAGGCAAAGAAATCATCCTCCAAGGGTGCTGCACAGCAGATTTTAGATGCAATAAATAAGTTGGAAGGGAATCTGAATCGTAACCTGGAGAGGGCTGTGAAGGAGAATGATAGAGTCTACCTCATGAGGGTTCCTGCCACCAGTTCTTTACCTCCGCTTCCAGCATTTTCATTGGTTAAGTCCATGCCAATGAATGAGGTACTGGATGCGAGCAAGGATAAAATGTTTGCAAGTCTTGTTCCTGACAACAGTGCAAAAGCTCTTTCTAGATACACTGAAATGGTTGATGTCATTATCAGAACACAAGCTGAGAAATTGCAACAGGGGAGTGAACTTGCCCGAGTGAGGCTCAAGGAAATGGACTTGCCTGACTCTATTCTTGCCTTAGAAGGGAATATCACCCTGCCAACAACTCTTAAAGAAGATGTGGAGGCAGTTCAAATTAGTGGAGGCCCAGTTGGGTTGGATGCCGAGCTACAACAACTTAGAGATTTGAGGAGGGTAAACCACGAATTACTTGTCCAGACTGAGGAGCTGTTGCAGAAAGAATTAACAGAAGATTCACAGTTTAGAAGCCAATTTGGAACACGGTGGACTAGGCCTCAGTCCAATACTCTAACAAAGAACTTGCAAGATAGGTTAAATAGATTCGCAGCAAATCTGAAGCAAGCTGCAGACAGTGATGCCCGGATTGAGCGTTCAGTGAGAGATTATTCAGCACTTATGTCAATCCTTGACCGGCGTCCGGTATGTACATTTCACTGATTTGTGTGAAATCTTTCTGCTCTGTTTTGCTCTTAGAAAAATAAATATAAGGTAAAATATGATCAGTGTAACAATTAAAGTTAAAGAAAAAAAAAAGGAAAAAAAAGTAGACCTATCGGTCTCCATTTTTAACAGGAAAGATAAAAATACACAAATAGACCTATTGGTCTCCATTTATAGTTGGGGGTAATTTTAAAAGTATAAATTAAACTGAATCACAATATAAATAATTTATGTCTACATTGTGAATCTATTACTTGACTGAATAAGTTTATAAAAAGGACAAATTAATTGTAGAGAAACAAAATTAGATCTTCTTAACAAAACCTACTGCAAGTATGACATTTTAAAAGTTATTCATCATAGTTTACTCTTTTTTCAAGCTAAAAGTTCAATGTTAATGCATAGGATTATAATTACAATGAGAAATAACTTGATTGATTGTACAATATTTATAACATTAAAAATGTCATTTAAAATAAAAAAGAAACAAAAAATCACAATCATATCCCTCTCTCGCATGCTTTGCTTTGTCATCCATCCAAACATGATATTTGGAAAACACAATAATTTATATTCATTGATTGTAAAATATTTATAATATTAAGAATGTCACTTAAAATAAAAAAAATCAAACTCATATCCGTCTGTGGGAGCCGAATAAGTAGAAGAGTCGGAAGATGCGCACTCCAGAAATTAGATACTATCCGGCTTCATATTGCGTGACTAGGACGCCGAATACGTTAGGAAAGCCGAATAGACGGAGATCAGTGGCTTCGAATGAAAGAAAGGACAATGATTAAAAAGTAGGCCCTGGCCCCGGGGATCAAAAAGAACAGGTATAAATACAGGAACAATGGTTATAGAAAGGTATGCAAGAATCACTTCACAAAACTTAGAAAAAAAGCTACCCTGAGTGTCTGAACTAGCTTATCCATCGGAGTGCTAATCTCGGTACTCCCGGCCGAAGTGTTTGTATCTTTTCAGGTGACCAGCTGAGGATCACTAGTATTTCTGAACCATTTCTCCACAACTGGCGCCGTCTGTGGGAATACTCAAACACATCTATGGCAGGCGTGACTGAAGATCCTCCGCTAGCCACTGATGAGACCGCACAAAGAGTTGACCTCATTCCAGCAAACTCGTTTGGATCAAAAACCATCGCAGCAAGACTTGCCTCGGACCTCTGCTCATTTTCAAACCCAATGCAAAAGACAATACAAGCGACCATGGCACAAGCTAGGCAAACCCAACAAAGGTTGGACAACATCATCGCTGAGAACGAACGCCTTCGTCGCGATCTAGCCTCGGAAATAGCAAAATCCAAACAAACGGTGCGCCCGGCTTCTGAGCGACCCCCGAGGGCAGATCATCTTGAGGAGTTGGCAAAGGACGAACGTCTCCACCAATGCGTCCGGAGGAGTGTGGTCGAAACACCTGCCCGTCCGGAGGATGCATCTCTGCTTGATACCGTCCACATGATATACAGCCTGCCAGTGGCCCTGGCCGTGCATGCGATCCAATCACATCCAGGCCACCAACAGCAACTCACGCCAGCAAAGCGGCCCCGAGAAACGCCAAGTATCACCTTTGACGATTCTGATTTGATCGGTGTAACACTCCCTCACATCGATCCGTTAGTTGTTGAGCTGCGCGTAAACCGGTTCATCGTCGAACGCGTTCTTATCGACCAGAGCAGTACCTCGGAGGTTATGTATTATAAAACCTTCACCAAACTCGGATTCAACGAGTCAGACCTGACTCTGTCTCCTTATCCACTATTCGGCTTCAATGCCACTCTAGAGTACCCATTGGGAAAGATCAGCTTACCCGTTCGAGCAGGTTCCAGAACGGTGGACGTGGAATTCTTGGTCGTCAGGCTGCCATCGCCGTACAATCTCATCATGGGGCGATCGTGGTTGCATACCTTGCAGGTCGTCCCAAGCACCTATCATCAACTGCTACGTTTCCCAACAGAACACGGCATTGAGCAAATCCCCCGATCCCAGAAATCGGCACAAGCATGTTATCTCCTTGCCGCCAGAACGCCAAAGGAACTGTAAGTAAACTCCATCGAGGTGCCGAATCGGGAGATCCTGGACGATGTTGGGCGGTATCCAAATGAGAAGGCCACGGAAGATTTGGACCGAGTTGACATTGATGGCAGCCCAGAAAAGTTCTTCATGATCGACGCCTCTCTGAATCAGGCCGACAGGCAGCAGCTGATCTCTTTCTTGCTCAACAACCTTGACGTCTTTGCGTGGACTCCGTACGAAATGCCGGGAATAGATCCGTCAGTTTCACAACACCATTTGAATGTTGATCTGAAATGTAAGCCGATCATTTAGAAAGGCTGACGGTTAGCCGCGGAGCACACTGCCGCCGTTGTTGAGGAGGTAGACAGACTGCTTGACGCCGGGGCAATTAGAGAAGTCACTTACCCTACGTGGCTCTCCAATACAGTGGTGGTGAAGAAGAAAAATGGGACTTGGCGAGTGTGCGTCGACTTCACGGATCTGAACAAAGCTTGCCCCAAAGACTGTTTTCCTCTACCTAGAATCGACCAGCTCGTCGATGCGACGGCACGTCATCAACGCATGAGTTTCCTCGATGCTTACAGAGGTTACCATCAAATCGCCATGCATCCAGATGACCAGGACAAAACTGCCTTCCTCACCCTAAGAGGAACCTATTGCTACAAAGTTATGCTCTTTGGGCTGAAGAATGCAGGAGCAACCTACCAAAGATTGGTCACCGTCATGTTCAAAGAGTAACTCGGCCACACTATGGAAGTATACATCGACGATATGGTGGTCAAGTCCAAAGAAGAACAGAGTCATATAGCCGATCTAGAAAAGACATTCGGCATCTTACGCAAATACAGAATGAAACTGAAAGCTTCTAAGTGTGCGTTCGGAATCGACTCTGGCAAATTCCTGAGTTACATCGTCAATCACCGAGGAATCGAAGCCAACCCAAGGCAAGTCACAGCAATCTTGAAACTCGGCTCCCCCCGCTTAGTAAAAGAAGTCCAAAAGTTGATGGGGATGGCCCCTACACTCAACAAGTTCATCAGCCGGTCTACAGATCGCTGCCGACAATTCTTTCAGACACTACGGCAGGGTAAGGCTTTTGAATGGTCCGCCGAATGCGAATCAACTTTCAACGGACTCAAGACCTACCTCCGCTTAGTACCTCTCTTGACAACACCCGCCGCTGGTGAGCCGCTCATCCTATATCTGGCAGTTTCCGATAGGGCCGTCAGTGCCATACTGTTAAAAGAGGATGAGGGGGAGCAACGGCCAGTGTATTATGTGAGCAAGGCAATGGTTGACGCCGAAACACGCTACCTTCTGCTGGAAAAACTCATCTTAGTCCTAGTCACGGCGGCAAGAAAACTGATGTATTACTTCCAGGGACATAGCATTGGGGTGTAGGAATGGCAACGGGGCGGGGCGGGGCCGGGGATCACACTCCCCGTCCCCGATCCCCGATGGTAAAATTTTCCCTATCCCCGGCCCCGATCCCCGACGGGGACCTATCACTGCCCCCCGTCCCCGTCCCCCAACGGGGATCGGGTTTCCCCGACCCCGAAATTCCCCGGACCCAAAAAAAAAAAAAAAAAAAAAAAAAAAAAAAAAAAAAAAAAAATATACATCATAAACATCACAAACAACATCATCAACATCAGGGCAGATCGCTTTTTTTTTTTTTTTTTTTGAGTCGATCTGATCTGAGAGAGAGAGAGAGGGAGTAGAGATCTGATCTAACTCTAAGTCGATCTGCTCGTTTGAATTCAAAGGGCAGATCTGAATCTGATCTGGCCTTGATCTGCTCGTCGCCCGTCGTCCTCCCATCTCTCTGCTGCTCGTCGTCGTCAGAGGTGGCGCTCCTCGTCGTCGTCCTAGTTGGAGGTGGCATCGTCGGAGATGGACTGTGTAGCGTCTCAGACGGAGAGGAAGAGAGAGAGAGACAGAGAGAGGGAGTAGAGGGAAGAGAGAGAGAAGGCATTAATGAAATGAAACAAAAAAATAGAAATGAGAGAGGGTTAAAAGAGAGACGAAAACAAATAAAATAATAAAAAAATATATTATATATATATATAGATCAGTTCGGGGACATGCGGGGCGGGGCCGGGCCGGGGCCGGGGATTGGGCACTTATCACCGTCCCCGGCCCGAAATTAATCGGGGATTGGTTTTTGAATACCATCCCCGTCCCGTCGGGGGTATTTTTCGGGGAAAACACGCTCAAATCGGGGTCGGGGGATCGGGTCCCCATCGGGCCGGTTTCAAATTGCCATCCCTATTGGGGTGCTAACAGATTATCCCCTTCGATCAGTACTACGGAGTGCAGAAGCATCAGGACATGTTTCAAAATGGGCTCTTGAACTCGGCTAATACGACATTCAATTTTTACCTAAAACTGCAATCAAGGGGCAGGTGTTGGCCGACTTTGTTGCTGAATTCACCGGCGAGCTCGCCAACCGCAAACCTGATGAAGTTCGACCAAAGGCTGAAGTTCTACCAAAGCCGAACTGGAGAATTTATGTCGGGGATATTTGGCAATTGTACTGTGATGGATCATCTAACCAAAGGGGCAGTGGCGCCGGAGTTGTAATCATGTCTCCAGACGGCGCAGTAATTGAACAGGCCGTCAAGCTTGGCTTCGAAGCATCAAATAACGAAGCTAAATACGAAGCCCTTCTAGCCGGTCTGTGAAATGCACACCTTCTCAGCGCTCAGCGTCTGCTTGTGTTTTGTGATTCAAAATTGGTAATCAATCAGCTAAAGGGGGAATACACGGCAAGAAACGACCGTATGGCGGCCTACATGAAAACGGCCAATTCCTTGCTGGCAAAATTTGACCATCACGAACTGAACCAAATAACACGCGACCAGAACACACACGCGGATGCCTTGGCATGCCTAGCCTCCACTATCAATTCTGAGATCAAACGGACCATCGAAGTAGGTTTCATCCCGAAGCCGAGTATCAGCCCTTCGGAGGAAATCCATGTCAACGTT